CAGTTTAATTATAGATTAATTAACTAGGATAATATTTATTAAAATGAGACGTAGTGCAAACTCATTAATGTATGTTCATGTCAAACTGTGTGACACAGTTGGATTCTGTCTTGTGCATAATATTAAAGTAATATACTATGGTTATTGCTGGTTAGTTCAATATTGCATCAAAATTTTAATTAGACTAGCTCACTGTCGGGAACAAACTGATATTTATTGGATATTGAGAGGTAGTTGTCAGATTTTTTTTGCCCAATGATTTACTTCTTGAACCATTTTTAAAAGTTCTTAAAATTTATTAACAAATTTTCGGAATATGAAACTTGATATAAAAAAAAATCCTAATAACTGCTTTTTGAAAATTATGCAAATTTTAATTTTTCAACAGAGTCGGAGAAAATTGTAAGTATTTATTTATATTCATTCAATCAAGCATTTTGAATTTTCGCTGTGAAAATCTTATTATTATGACTTATTGATTTGAAAAAGTTGTGAATATTAATTCCACTTATATAGTCAAAATATTTAACTTCAATATCTATATGGCTTGTTCACTATGATAATAAATAAAATTTCAAATTAAAACAAACTGCTGGGGTTTTATTAGGTGCAAAAAAGCTATACACTCTGACTGCTTGAATCGCTACGTTGGATTATCAAGGAGTTGTCCCACTTTAATGTATTCAGATGATAGAAATATCGACGCCAACATATCAACCCTTTAAGAATAATCAATAAAAAACTAATTGTTCCATAAGTTACTCGTTACAAATATATATATATATATATATATATATATATTTATAGGGTGTGCAAAAATAATAAATCTCCTCGATTTCTTTAAGGCTTTTAAATTTTCATATACAAAAATTTTAAATGTTGCTATTTTTATTAGGAATTCAAGTATGCTCAGATATCTTGAATATTTTATTTTCGGATTCTAAAACAGTCAACAGATACCGTCTTTTACTAATTCAAACTCGAAGTGATGTAAACATTGTCCAACATTGCATTTTGGTAAATTTTATTTTATTGAAACATAACTACGAACTTGTTCAAGCTTAATATGAATTTTTAAGCGACCTGAACTACGATCATTTTGTTTTTGAGACTAAATGTTATGTTCGTCACTAGGTACGCTTGAAGTTATTACGAGTTCACCTTAGTCGATTAACGTGAACGAGACTTTTACCAGCGTCCAGATAGGCTACCTTGAATCCCAAGCTGTAAACAGAAGGCTTGGTAAGCGTTGAAAGTATATTCTACAAACACCCAGCAATCACAAACACAACCAAAAACAACCAGCTCAGAGAACGAAACACCACCACAATTATCCACCTGAACTACAAGTTTTCTCCACCATCTCAAAATCACAATACAATAAAGCACACAACTCTCGTTTATTCATACTTCATAGAAACGTCCTTGGGACAGTTAAGAAAATAGCACACTAAAATACACAGCAGCCAATCACAGCCATGGATTTTCCTGGTGGAAATTGAAATCTCAAAGTAAACTGATCAGCCCATGCTCGCAAGGTGGAGTTGAATGCTTTTATGTAATTCACAGTATGAATTTCGTTACCAAGATTCAGATATATATATACAAAGTGGAAAAGCAGATAACAGATATTTCATAATTCACTGATTAGTGGGAGAGTTGAAATATATAGATATTTTGTTGCTTTTTACACTTTTTTCCTAGTAATCGATACATTCAACAACCGGTTATAGGCATCTAACGAACTTACATTTGTTTCGTTAACTATAGTTTATTGGTAAATCAAAGCATTAAAATAAACTTAAAATAATTATATTTAGCTTTGTACCCGTTAATAATTATATCTATTTTTTACTTTGACTAAACATTCATTATTCAGTAATTGAAAATAAATGGCAAATTAACTGACATACAGGAAGTCGTTTAGAGAAATATAAAAATCGCATGAATGTTTAAATTCTTGATAAAAAATATAACTAACGGGGTATTATTTACTATGGTAACCATAGTAATCAACAAAGGAAATACGTTCCTTATCCATGAATAGATAACAGATTATAGTTTTTTATATTTGATTTTTTTAATAATAAACAATGACAAAGCAAAATTGGAAGGTGAGACTCCTGAATATCACATTCCAAACAGTTACCTAGTTACATATATTTACGTGATATACAGTTTGAAACAATTCGACCGTTAATCTAGTATGGCTAGTTCACGTGTGAGGAAATTAATAAACGATTTAGATCAGCAGCTGACGTTTTAGAGAGGATATCCTACAGTCCAGAAATTCAAAATAAAGTTTCTCGACATACAAATATTAAAAAAAAACGGATTAACTATTTAAGAGCTAAAATATCCCCGTATAAGTAGGCCAAACATTTGGATATAGGGTTATTTTATTTGTAGTCAAACAATGTGTAAATACAAACTGGCGAATTTTAAACAAACAATCCATTATATCGAATAGTCCTGATAATGTATCATTTCAAACGTCAAAGTTTTTTCACAGCATCAGAATAAATAGAAATTTCTTCGATGAGTTTAGTGACAACTTTTAGACAAGTGTAACTTTAATTAGGACCAATTATTCAGAATAAATTAAAATAGAGTAAGAGCAGTCAAATGTGGTTTGAAGCTGACCAAATTTAAGAAACTAAATACACCAACATGTATCAGAAAAAAAGCCTAAATTATGCGCAAGATATGTAACTCATTGTATAATAGAAGGATTGAAATTAAATATTGTGAGTGATTGGCTTCAAAACAACAAAAGTCAGTACTCGTACCTTGGTGTGTTCGTGAATAATATTCTTTCGTGGCTACTGATGATATTGAAGAAAATCCTAAATGACATACTAACGTTTCAATTTACAAACAGTAACATCTTAAAACCCACATAACATTTAAGTTTCTTGACTTCCTTGCATATTTGCACTCCTCAAAAATTTATAAAAATTCTTTCAATCGAAATCAAACCTTAGGGATTCCAGCACTTTGGTGAAAAACATATCTTCGAATCAAACCTGGAACTCCGTGATCCAGATTTAGTAAGTTTTAGCTAATACATGACGGCCATCGAATCCTAGTGCTAGTAGTTTTGTCACTAATCATCTCTTTAGATTTGAGAATTAAGACAGAACACTAAACAGATAGGCCGTTTTTCAAGATTTCTTCAGCTAAAAATACTCTGTATAATATTCATACTCTTATTTAAACGTAATTTGATATTTAGATATGTTTTAATGTGTTATGTAATATGTAGAATATTGTTTCTGCTTAACTGTACCGAAAACAATGAACAGTTTTATGCTTTTAAGAAAACACTGCAAATATTCGCGAAAATTTTTATCTTTCTTGTAAATATTTATTATTGATAGAAGAGTAAGATAAAATCTGAAGTGAATGAGTGTAGCAGTCACATATATTTCCTCTCATTTTGATATCTTTTCTATATGATATACGGTTTTTGTTATATGAAGCTTCTAAACACATTTTTGCATGGTATTTTACATAGTTACATTGACGTAAGTGGAAAAATAAATAACTCAATCGATTAACAATAACTACCGTAATGATTGTTATTCGTCAAGTCCCCATTTGAATCAGAATAAAATTAAGGTGTAGAAATATCTTGGTTTGAATATTTCTTACGGATATGGCTAGGTTAAACGGAGTTTTCCCCTCCAAAATTATCTACTGAATGAAAATCTAAAGTCATAATATGGTTCAAAATTATCTTGTAGAGCTGGTAAATAAATAAATTTAATTCACAAAAAATCATATAAATTGATGTTACAAAATTTCGCAGCAAACTAACGTTTATGCTCCATGGAATAGTTCTTTATGTTTAAAGGCAGTTTTGCTGATGAAAGTATGATTTAGCTGTATAACAAAATCAGCTTTACGGAGCTAGTAGAATCATTGAAAATCCTTGGAACATAATTACATCATCCAAAGACGAAATTCACACAACAGTTGATACAATTCCCAGTAAAAATTGATGTGATTTTTATATTTGTATCTCAAAGTTCCTGTAAGATAATAACTTTCCGTATCATGCTAAAAAGCCAGGTCACGGAATCTAGCGTATCGATTGGTAGCTTTATTATTCTGTCCTGTTTTACATCTTACATTGCAGTTCTTGACTTATAAGTAGTAGAAAGTAAAATAAATCGGTTACGATGAATAAAGTCTATATTCATTCGTTGAAGATGTTTAGTTTTTGCAATATTTAAATATTTATAACAAGGAAAAATTGCTTCTTGCCTATTAAATTAATAAATAAAAAAATAAAATGAAACAAATTTATAAACTCTCTGTTGTATATTTAACAGTTCCTTATTTTCATGATAAAAAATTAAACTACACAATAGTTTATGCAATGTTAAAAAATAAAAAATAAAATTCCTTATTTTCAGTTTATTGTTATACCGTAGACATTTTCGAAATCGATTTATTGGTTATCGTATTTTTTTTCATTTTACGCATCCGTTTAGTTAATGTTTGTCAGATCGATTATATTCTAAATCCCGTTCATTCTAATAGAAACTAATCTTAGATAATTGAGTAGGAATACATTATTGAGTAGATGAAGTCATCAGTTCTACACTGCTTGATTTTAGTATTGATCAAGTACATTATGTAAGTTAATTTATTTTTGAACGTGAGTTCAAATATCTTCAAAGCATTTTTCCATTCCTCCTTGTTTCCCAATAAATTCATGCAGTTTCAGACAATTCGCTGAATGACATTTGTAAAACACAATGAATGTCTTTAAAGTTCGTTACATCAAAAATTATCGAACACACTAGTAAAAAAACAAAAACAGATCTCAAACAAAAATTTCATAAACTTGATTCCTGATCTAGAAAACTGTCTTTTGATTTGTAACAATTTAGTACTATCACAATAATGAGATATTTTAGTCAAATAAATATTTCATTTCTAATGATTTTATCGAAATCTCGCCTCAATTTTACATTTTTTTTTAATTTCAGTCATATTGTGTTAGTTCGGGAATAATTCCATTTTAACTATCATCACAATTCTTTCGATTAAATCTTACAAATCCTATTGACAAACTGTTAGAACAAATTTAACAGCCACAAAGTTATCAAATTGTACTATACGCAGTTCGATCAATGAATGGTCTACTTTGAAAACTGAGAGAAATACTGCACCTTCGTTATTATTAAAATACGAATTCAAATCAATAATTCAGCGAATGATCATATTATCAATGAAAGGAAGTTACAATTATCTGTTATTGTTCCTATCATTAATAATTTATATGTCTAGACAATCAGTAGTCGATTCGGGTAAGTTCACAATAAATTATTAAAGTATAATTAAAGTTTGATCAGGAAAAACTTGTTCAACTTGAAAATGCTTCTCCTGAATAATTAGTCTTAAATAAAAATATTGCAAAATAAGGCGCATTGAGTAGCTGTTATGCCTTTCGAAGCTTGTAATGTTGTTGTTTAGTCTGGTTTTAAAAGACTATAACGTTTACACGTCATTTGTTTCCCTCACAAAAAAATCCTTTGGAACTATTAGGAACGGTTATATTATCTGTTTTTTCGTATGTGCACTGTTCTTGAAATGCTGTGATTGCCAGAATTTCAAGTTAACAGTGTTGACTAAAGTTTTATAACTGGAGATTTCTCCGTATTATAGGTTGGTGTCAGCTACATAATAAAACTAACGTTAGAAAAATGAACAATGGTTCCTATTTATAGTTAACATACCTCAACAGTATACCTCTACGACTGCACTCTAGCTTGAACCCAGTTCCTACACGTATCATGATGGTTATAACAAGGTTGAACAAAAGAACTATAAACTGGACAAAGTTTACCGAAAGTTATCTAAATTTTGGCTTGTTTCTTAAGTGAATTACATAATCTGTGTGACTTTTTTGAGTTTGTATAAAAATAGTGGATGTTTTTACTGTTAACAATACTTCCTAAATGAAACACAACAAATGAAAATTAACAAAAAAGTAAATACTTGTTAAGTTTAGTTTTTATGTTAACTTCCTTTTTAGTGTTTCCTGATTTATTTTCAGACAATAAAACTGAAGTGAGCATTTTACTTTTAATAGGAAGGAAAATTGTAGACAGGAACAGTGAAGTTTGAATAAGACTACAAGCATCTAGAAAGTGTATTGTATTTTTCCAGAGATGTTTAAATAACATTAGTATGAAAATTATGAGTTAATACTTAAATATTACAGCATAAATTTATTTCGTTTCGAAGTCTAACAGAGAAGCTAACTTCTCTATTGTAAAATGGATGGAATTAGCATTGGGAACAATCGAAATTAAAAAAAAATTGATTTCAGTATTCTAAAAAAAGATACTAAATGATATTCACTAAATAATTTTCTAAAGACATAATACTTGTAAAATTTTGAACAGCTGAGTTTTCATTGCACTTTAATAAGAAGTGGATGCAATAAAGTTAATGTTTAGTTAATGATCCAACCAACACTTTATTACTTATATTTTACTTTGAATGCTGAAATATGTGTTGTAATTTATTTCTCACTACCTTGAAGGAATGGCTAATGATTCTTAAAGATTTCTTCTGAATCTTAGAAGGCTTTTTTGTTTTGTATTCAAAAAGTCGATAAGAGCTTAATGGTAGAGATTCTCGGTTCCAAACGGTCAGAGAGTTATCAACAAATGTAAGCAGGTCCAATCCGAGAATCCTCTTTAGTAGTATTTATTTCGTAAATAGGCAAGTTATGCAATTTTTACCATTTGAAAGACCATCTAAAAAAGTAGCACTTACCATTAACACGTAACATGTTATTACATAGAAGTATGGTAATAAATCAGCTAGCTGTGGCTTTAATTACTGTTAAACGAATCGACTTAATTTTCATTTGCATACCATTAAAATTATGGTAGTCTTTTTTCTGCATCACTTTGAGAGTTAATTGGCAGAACCTATAATTTTAAAAATAATGCTGAAGAGAGCAATGAGTTTTCTTTGAAATGCACATTCAATCGATGATCAGAGCTGACTGAGTTGACCTTAGTTCATTTCATATTAACTTCTGGTCCCTGTTACATGAGAATAAATTTAGCTGTTACGGGGTCGGTTTAGAAACTCGTTAGGTTTTATTAATACACTCCGAACATTCATAAAAGATAATCCATTTTTCATTTATTGCCTAGTTTTCCATATTCAAGTAGTTTTCGAATTCAAAATGAGTTGCTTTGGCTCTAGGCCCTCTGATTGCACTTGAAGCACATATTAATTATTTTCTATATATGCCTAGTGAAATATTGTGATTACAGATGTTTAATTTTTAACTGGTTAAGCATTACTTTTTAGTGTGAATGAGCATAAAATACTGCTCCGAAGCAGTGGAGTACAAATGTTTACAACACTGACATATTAGACGTACCCCTGAAACTCAGTGAGCCTACACATAAAATGAATTCTCAGCTCATTAGCACGTTTACAAGCGATGTGAAAAACAGATTAGTAATAGAAAAGTTAATCAAAAGCTAACGATGCATGAATTTATAAGTAGTCTATGTGCACTTACCTTATATGATAGACTGGTAGATAGATTTATCAATAACAGGATTATGAAAAACATGATGAATAAAGTCTAAGCTGGCTAATTTTATGTGCCCTGGAAATTCAGCATTTCCCAGAACTAATGACTCAAAGTACACATTCATCCACTATAATAATTCGGCAACTAAACGTAAATTCGTAACAACTCAGTTCAGCAGATATTTCAAAAGAAGTTAAATGGATTCTTTCACAACTTAAGAGTTACAAACAAAAAAGTTTCTAACTTATCGATTTTATAAAACTTTTGATTTTTTAAATTATTCCATTTTATTTAGCTAATTTATTCGCCTTATCCAACATCATAGAAATTCTTAGGATTTAGTATGTAGAAATCCTAGTAACATACTTCAATCTTTTTAAGTAGTTAATACATTAACTAATGTTTTCATTTTTCTAATCCAAGATGAATTTTGTCTCAAATTCACTCAACGTTTATTTGAAATTTTTAGCCGATAATCCTATATACAGGTTACCTGAAAAACAACGCTATATCACTTGAACTGGTTACGGTCAGTAATTTTATTTACATAACTGTGATTTGTTTTTTTTACCAAATCAACACATTTTGTGAATTTGAGTAGGACCATGGAGGGTTGTTGAAAATTCCCAATGCAAAATGCATTTATGTTAATTATTTTAAATTACTGTTCGTGTTTTATTCAGATTTACAAAGTGAATAGATGATACGTACCTCCGCATTATATGTTTTGTATGGTTTACAGTTAGAAATTTCAACAGATACCAGAAAAATTAATTTAAATGACAGTTCACGATGATTGATGGTGTCCAAAAGCCATAGGTCTTTTTATTTTATCACATGTGTTTATTTGTATGTGTATTTTCTTATTGCTGGCTATGCTACGAAAATACTCATAAAATTCTATCACTTGATTTGAAGGGCCTTATCTTCAGGATAATTCAAATGCTTCACAGAAAACTCGTCTCGATAACCTATTTCAGAAAACATCCAACGAGGTATAAATTTCAGACGACGATACGAAGTGTTGACTACGCTTCATTACCATTATGGTTCAGATCGCAAAGCCACAAGCAAAGGAGGGGAAGACGAAGATAACGAAGGCAAGCGAATGAGGGGTAATAAATGAATAGCATTAAAGATGCATATATATATATATATATATATATAAGGAACTGTACCAGTCATTGAGTGATTAAGCCGACATCTAAGCTAGTAAGCGGAATATATGTATAGACTGTAACAAGTGACCAACCATGCACACTCATACAAACATCATAATAATAATTTAAAGACACTGACTCATTATTACCGACCGAATGACACCAACTGTTGAGTAAGTTAGTTGAAGGGCTTAACAAAGTTTAACACATTTGTAGGTAGGTAGGTTGCCATAGTTTTGCATCACAGTAATTTACACATGTAATGCATTGAGACACATAATCCCTTAATTAAAAAAATAAAGTAAATATTATAATCTCAGCAATCATAAAGGGCATTTATCCAAACGCATCTTCAGATTCAGTTAAAGCCTAGTAAGCAAGTTACTTACTTATTTACTTACTCCTGTCACCCCCAATGGAGCATAGTTCGCCCATCAGTTTTCTCCAGCCAACTCTGTCCTGTGCTTCCCTTTCCAGTTTTGTCCAATTTTTGTTCTTTCTTCTCATATCTTTTTCTATTTCTCGGCGTAATGTGTTCCTTGGCCTTCCTTTTTTCTTTTAGTAAGCAAATACAAACAGAAAATAGAAATTTTCGAGATAAAACTTGGAATTCAAAGTTGAGATAGTTATGAATTTGTCAGGCATTTGTTATGAAAGTGACAGGAAGGAAATTCTAATTATTGTAAATTAAGTGGAAAATAATTTCCAACAACCATTTACATGAAGGAAAACAAAAAACATTTCAACTCGCTAATGACCAACAATATGATTCACTCAGTAGAATTTGTTAGCGAAAGATATTATCATGGATTTGATCTAGTCGAAAGAAGAATATGCTCAGCTTCATTTTTTCTACTCCGGATTGTTGATGGTCAAGCGGTAGATATGAATAAAACATTCAGGTTTATTAATCCTATTCAATCAAAATTCATAACATATAAATGAAGCTATTAAGGGTAGAGCCATTAACCTTATATTTTGCTTTCAGGTAAAGTCTAAAGTATCTCCAACTCTCTAGCACAAACAGATTATTTCAGCCTGTTTCATTCTTTCAATATCTGTTCACTGTTATTGATGCATTTGAACGTTGACTATTGATGTTACGGGTTAATTTATAATGGCTGGTAGTTATAACTGCATGTTTTTCAAGGTTTGGCAGTATTTTTATAACTACTATCATTTAACTATTGATATTAATTTCGTCTTTCATTAGAATTTTCTGTGTATACTGAATAGAATTCATGAGAATGTAACTTCATATTTTGATAAAAACATGTAAAATATACATCTGAGAAGAATTATGTTTTGTTTTAAATCCTAGAGGAAAAACTAATAAGATTTAAGAGCCGTCTATTTTATTTTGATGAACTAACGGAAAAAAGTGGACTTCAGACTTAATAGTCTAAAAGTTTTGAATTTATGTTTCATAAAATTCAGTAATCACAAGTTTTGAATTACTAAACTTCCTATTTAAAGACTTTTAAATATTATGATTGAGAATTTAGGATCTGAAATAAAATTGAATAATTATTATTGAAAACTTGGTCGAAAGCATAACAAAAATGAAAGGCTGAGAAACAAC